CAAAACGTTCGCGATGATATAAAGAAAGTTAAATATATAGGAATGTTTGTAGAAATTGATTCTTCGGCTTTCCCCTTGTAAATTTGAAGATGTTTTTCTAAATTTATGTTAGATTACATGTATCGTTGACATTCAAGTACTGATTGGTAATGAGAAATTTTAATACAACTTGAGCTCGACGCGTGGTGCACGCGAGTCGACGTAATTAGCGCCTTGATAATCGAAGCCTAAAGTTTCCCCTCGACCTTACCGGCCCATTGACACTGGCAGCACCGTTACCAAGTCCGCCAAACTAACCCCCACCCTTTCGACATTCAAATAGTGTCGGTGCAAACTTGTCCAAGTTCCGACTGCAGCACGAGCTAGGTAGAATACGTAATGAGTACGTGGGCTCTTGACTTCGGACTATTATACGAGCCGGCCCATTATGACTAATCGCTCCGGTATGCCTCGCTATTGGAGCCTCGGGCGAATATTCGCGTGGCGAACGAAACTTATACACATACAAGAATCACAACTCGTTATCGTGGATTTGTGTTCAAATAAACGTGATCGAGAGTTTAGTCGAAACTGAGAAAATGTTTTTCTCAATAAATATCTCGGTAGAACGTTAATAACGGAATCATATGACAAATAAAAGGGCACATTATTATATATACTTTTACGTTTATATTTTGCTACCGTCATTATAATTAACAATGTGCACTGATAGACAGAATCCTACAACCACTCTAACCGAGCTATTTAACGTTCAGTTAAAGTACGTGTACGGTCGGATCAGGCTCTTACTTTACTACTCCACGTCGCTCATGATGAAACGCCCTTCCCGAACGAGATCGAAAATTCCTAGATAATTTCTCGTCACGCGATTATTTCTCGTGGAGTGGCCACTCACTCGGGCACGATCTAATTTCTGGCTTAATCTCGAAGGCGTGCGGTCCGACGATGGGACACGATGTGAATGCGAACGGTCATACGCGCAGTCAGGATGCGAGGAGATGCGAGAGCGAAGATAGAAAGTGGAAGGGGGGTAGGGGAGGGGGAGTTTAGGTATTGGCGATTCTATAGCGATGTATTAGCGCCACGATTGCCGCCAGCAGCCTCGGCCTAAGTGAATGGCTCTGCCGAGGGCTTTACTGATTATGGCGTCGCCATTGATCCAGATCGAAATTGGCTTGCCTCTGTCATGGAACGTGCCCAGAGGACCATTAATATCCTCCGCGGGCCAAGAGCGAACGGGCGCGACGCCGGTATCGATGACGGAGATGAGAGGAAGAGGCCAGCTAATCGCAAATATAGCCGTAGACCGAGGTGCGAAGCCGTTGCCGGGATATATCAGCTCATTGAGCGATTAAATAATCAGCAGCCAATCGTTTGTCGTATTTATCGAGAGTTTCTCTTTAAAATTCCAATTATAATTATGTGTGAAGAGTAAAAAAGTACTTGTATACCGAAAACGCTTTAGCAGAAAAATGCTCGAATAATATTTTGTTTGAAAAAAGTAAAGAGATAATATTTTTCAGATGTGTTTTCTGCATGTAAAAAAAGAATATTCCCTCTCTACGATATTTTAGTAGATACATCAGCATTAATGTATAAATATCTGATTTTTCACGTATTTTTAAAATACACAGTATTTTCTTTTTAAAACCGCAAAAAATAAAAATGTATACCATTGATAATAAAAAATACGACGCTTCTGATACATCTATTAGAAAATATAAAATATATATTTGTATAAAAAAATATATATATATTTATTGTAATATATATAGATATTTGTATTTGTAAAATATCTATTTCAGCAACTAAATTTCAATCTGTAAAAGAAAATACACGATTTTTTAAATAAATTGTTAAATGTAAAATACTTTATTATACCGATCTTCTGACAGATAATCGCAAATAATTAGATAATGGATAATCTTTAACCTTAAACAGTCGATCAATAATAAAAAAGGCCAGCTGATTTATAAATCCTTTTCTATCGTTAGGAGAATGACAATTTACCACTTGTCTGTCTATCGGCGCGATTGATAAATTGTTAGGATTAAAAGGGTTCACGATCAGTAAATAAATGCAGTGTCCTCGGAGATTGAATTTGACGTAAACCGGCAAAACTGGAGCGAAATTCTCGCGCGCTCTCGATAGTCTCGATCGTGTTTGTTTACACTTCTACTTTATCCGCTTGTCGCTTGATTAATGAGGATTACAACGGACTATAAAAAATAAGGATATACTCCGTGTTTGATCGCGCGAATTATATCGGGAATATAAAATTTATGGACTAACACACTGTAATGTGTTGCTTCGAAGCGAGTAACAGGTTATAAATATCGAATCGGGTACAAACGCCATTTCATTTATCCATAAAATTTTCCGATATAGATAAATTATGCAGCATCGGAAATACGCCAATAATAGCAACGGATTAATTTAGATCATTTATGAGCCTTTATGACTCGCTTTTACGTCGCTTATTGCTCTTTTCAATCCGATGAATAACTTATTTGCGGAATAAATATCCTAGCACTCGCGTTTACAACCAAACAGAAGTATCTAATTTTTGCGTCGAAATGACTCAAAACAGAGAACGCAATTATTCCACCAATCAAATCGTCTGTATCAACGATAATAAAAATAAATTGTTTTATTTTAATGCAGTTTTTAAAATTGAGTAAATACTTGTAGATGCTCGTAAGATTTCTCTCTTACAAATGTTTTATATATTTTTAAGATGGAAAAAGCTGATAATTTACAATAATAATAATAATAATAATAATGAATCTAATAAATTGCTACATTCGGCCTACTTTATTTAAAATACTAGTCTTTAATATACTGGTTTATTAAATATAACATTTGACAGCGTACAGAATTTTGATTTTTTTGATCGTACAACAGAATTAAATAGAAGACAATGTCTGAAGCGAAAAATTACGTGACAAGTGAAGATAACATATTGCTTTCGACAATTGATCTTTTCCCGCTCGAAGCTATAATATGATTCTATATTAGCGTTTATCGGCTAATTGAAGTTTTCAAAGGTAGTCATTTGCCAGATTGGATTAAAAATTGAGTAGTTGCTGAGGATCAAAGGAACCTATTTTCTGCCGTTCAAGTACCGCAACGATTCTATACACTGGCTTACTGGCGTATATATCACCGCATACGATTTATCTTTCTTTTTTAATCGCGTATCACCAGATAAATCAGCGATCGACATTTCCACAGAGAAAATATAAATGAGAAATTGTTACCAACCGTTTTCTAAATTTTTAAGTATGTTGGAAGAAAATTACATTTTTTCCCTTAACAATTTAAAAATTACTAAGATTTATCGGAGCGGAGGTGCACGGATTTCGGGCGAAATTTTTCGGGAAAGTGGCTCTAAAATGTGTTTCTCGATACCGAGAATCAATTTTCGTTGCCGGTATATATATCTTTTTCGGGACACCTCGTGGACGCGGCGATGAAGGCTCGAAGTAGATGATGCTTCCTTCCTCCGTCTGTATCTGTCGATTGCCAATATCTCGGCAAGACGGCAAGAGACGGCGGGATCGAACAGGCAGGATTCTCGATTCCGATAAGAGTTAGTGCTCACTTGTTGACCCGCTTCGACGATCGTAACTTATCGAGATACAAGACCGACGATTGAGAGAAACGACGTGCGGCCAGACGCCGAGAGTCTCGGATTTATTGAGAGGTCTTAATAACGTCGCGCGCACGACGATTTTTATGGCGACGCGTGCGGATAGATCGACGTCGCCGGTGGTTTAGCGTTTTTTCAGTTTGAGATTTGCGGTCGAGAAATCGCGGTCGATTAAGCGTCAACGGTTTACATCTCATTGAGACGATTGTTACATCGTTACAAGAACGATACTCGAATCCGTCGAGACGCTATCACGGTAAATCGAGAGAGCCGGCGATCGCGCATCGATCGTGCATGGGCAGTTCTCCATAGCAGTTCATGTAGTGCCATCAGTTAGTCGCTTATTAGCCGAGTTACGCCAAGTGGCATTGTGCGGCAAGTAAATTTTCTGTTTTATCGTTTGTGTGCAAATCATCGTTAGGCATTTCGATTCATCGTTCGGCGCGATCCGATTGGATTGTGCGGGCCCGCGTATAGTCGAGTAGAATTACAGACGCCGTGTGCCGGCCAATGCCGATCTGTTACAACGAATAGCTACAGATAGAACTGATAATGAATTGGAATTGTTTGCAAACTGCATGGGCGCTTTAGCAACAACGCGAGTACCGCCATTCGCTACAATTGCGCACATAGTTATTCCGTTCGAATAATATGTTTCGATAATTGGAGGCTTTTACGGCTTGGGTCCAATTGGAATTGCACGTTTCTATGCCACTGACGGGTCTCTCCGTTATCGATAAGGTCGACCTGTCATATTCGGGAACGCGCGCCGCGGCGAGCGTCTTTGTTTAAGTTGGATTGCTTCCTTTGATATCTAATTGTCCGCAATTGAATATCATTCTTAGTACGGTGACAGATAAATTCGCTGCTTCAAGATAGTTTTGGCGTGCCGAAACCCTTGTATCAGCACCGAATCGTCGTTAATCTTCTTGCCAGCGTAATATAAGAAAATCAAGGCTTACATTTAAACCGAACAATTTTCTTTCTATTAGTATAAGATTAGTATCTTGAAAGAATTTGTTGTAGCAAAGAATATATTATCTATTCCGATATCATTTCGCGATAAATACACGATTTTAATACATTCTATTTTTATTCAATTGCTGATGACTAACGTATAATGTTTGATAATTTTGAGCGTTTCTCATTACCAATTATTTTTGATAAAATAATGTATTTTTGATTTATGAATGTGTAACGTAATACGAATTAACATAGAAATTGCGATACGATACTAAAATTCCGGAATAAATGGTGAGCTTTTGTAAAAAAAAAAAAATTGAACAGAAATAATGGTCGACGGAGAGAAAGGGCGGTGAACCTATAACGAATGCTATGTTGAATTTACCTGTGCACCGACGAGGCCAGCGCGTAATCTAGGGATGTCCGTGTGACTCCAGTCTGATCTGGCCCAAGGGTCGACCCTGCCGAGATCGCTGCTCAGGTTGACTTCGCCAAGTTGATTGTGTACGAACTTTCTGACGTTCCAGGGCAAATCGTTGTGCCTGCGAATTAGAAATATGAGTTTTAAAAGAATATTACGTGCAGCAAGTACGATATCTTGCGATACTCGGCAGTGTAGGTGAATAATTATTTTTGATTAACTTGAAAATTTGTGATATGTTGCAATGATATGCTTTTTATTCAAGTATCAGTTGCGGAACATTATATACTTGAATAATAATTCGAAATGTATAATGATCTGTATATTACAATGTTACTTGAGATTAATAAGCAAGATTGAATCGAAATGAGATTTATATTTGATTTCGAGTATCCGGGAGTTATATCCATATCATCATTACGCGATGTAAACATAGATGATATGTTGGAATAATTACTTGATACATTAATGAGATTGTATATTCAGGAAACAAGACCGTATATTGGGTAATTCAGAGCGATTTATATTTTTCGAATGTCTTTGTATATTGAAGTTTTTTTTTATTCTGTTTTTACCCGCAACACGTTTTGCGAGGTTTTACCTTCGGTATTTTTCAATTCGGTAATAAACTCACCCGTCGATCAGAGGCACTTCAGTGAGAATCCTCCTGATCACGTCCAGCCTCTGCTGGTGCGTGGCAGGCGCGGATTGTAATAGAAACGGCAGACAGAGGCCTCCGAGGAGCAGGACGGCCACTAGGAGCAGGACAGGCGCCAACAGCCGACACCTCCTGCGAGGACTCTCGTCTCTGCGATCCTTGCTGCTGCCGCTGCTAGGCGAGTCCTCGCACGGCGGCGGTAGTCGCACGGTGCCGTTGCAAGGCGCCACGTCTGGCAGTTCTGTTAGGCACGTGGTCTGAAAGAAGAAATCCGAAATTGCACGACATTCTGCTTGCTTTGCCGCTGGTGATCTCGCTGAATTATTAATCTCGTTGAAGAGGGAATTGTTATACAAGAAGTCGAAGAGCGATTTTAACAGATGTAAAAAAAATATTACGATATATCGGTTTAGTTTATGGTAGCAATTTTCGAACATCTTTCGAAAAATTTTCTGAGATTATATGTAGATTTCGTAGATGATAGGTACATCTTTAATTGCGAAATTTCAAAACTCGCTTTGATAATTTAATGAAACATATGTTTTCAGGGATCTTTTTATTAATCATTCAATATTAAACTTGCTATTAAGCTGTTAGGTTATCTATAGTTAAGATGCATGTCCAACTCTTTCGTCAATCTGAATGATATGTGTAAGCGGTAACTAACAAGTTTGCGAAACAGATCTCATTCATGGAGCAGAGAACATTTGTGTTGGTTTAGTATATCGTGCGCACGTTCGAGATATTTGCTTGGCGAATTAATTAATTTGGTTAATAGCTGCCGCGGAGATTACATGCTGCTGTCCAGCGGACGCGCGTGCACTTGTGGAAATAAATAATTACTTATCTGTAATTTCGCGTGCGTTGGTAAGCGACACTGCGGAAGATTAATACTTCCCGGCTAACTGAAGTCAAACACAATATATGTTGTAATAAAATAAAGCGACCGAGTATTACGAGAGATTTTAATTAAACATATTTAGATGCATTAATATGATGAAACACTTTTTACTGTTACAAAATTGTAACTACTTGCACATTGTATAATTAATAATATATCTTGGCATTATCGCAACATATTGTGAAGACAGATATTAAATATAATTAAATATTAATTATTTTTTCTTTTCCTCGCGATTAATATAATTAAAAATAATAATTAAATCAATTCGATGAAAACTTCTTGCATTATTTGGCTACGCATTGATCTTACGTTCTGTTTGCAACGGCATTCGCAAAATTGTCCTAAATCTTTAAAATATTGCTAATATGAGCTTTGTATAGCTAGCAGGGATATAAATCCTCTCGTCTCGCACACGTGCGAGACTTTTTGACGTGGGCGAAACGCGTATCCGAGCGAAGTTAGACAATCGCGCGTATTAACGACTATTTAAGTGTCTTTTAGAAAGTGCATTACGCTAGTGGCGCATGCAGCGGAAACGGACAGCACGGTGGCTGTAACCTGTCCGTGGAAAAATACAACCACCGCGGATGGAAGTGCAACCTCGAAGGAGGGTTGCTGGATGAAAGGAGGGCTCCTTCGCGGCGTCACTGCGACGCTCTGCAGGCAACGCGCGGTAAACTTTTGTTCGCCCTCCTTTCGACCACCATAAAACACGTTAACGCCTAGCTACGGATTTTCCGCGTGTATATATATATATATCTATCTATCTATATATGTATAGCATATAGTGTAGAACACAGTCACGAAAGGCATTGAGATACTTGGCGAGCCTCTGGGAATTTTCTCAGTTTCTACAGTTGTCGTAAACAACTCACCAAGTCATAACTCTCGTATATACCCTTCCCCCTCCTTCGCAACACTTCGTAATACTCGTCAGATTTCACGTGATAACAAATCAGATAAAACCGTGAATCTTTATTGATACGTTGATACCACCCATGATAAGAAAATAATAAAAAAAACCTATATATTTCACAGCTTTCTCAGTCGTTTTTAGTAAAATGTAATTTGTGTGCGCTAACATTTTCATACATAATTTATTAAACGTACTAAATTGTGAGCTTTCGGTAAGACATTTGATACGATTGAAGATGGAAACAAACAATAATAATTGAGAACAATTTGGAAACTGGAATTTAAGATAATCTCGTTATTAAAGATAAGAAATAATTAGAGAGGTATAGAAAAATTTTGAGAGACACACGGCAAGTGTGCCGCTTTCCGATACTTCTTTCGGTGAAACTTTTATCTCATGCATGTCCCCCTTCTTATAATATGGTATCGCCAAGTTCCGCGTATTTATGGTACACAATAATGCGAGGGATACGAAGTTTCGCGAGATGCTACGCGGCGGAAGAAGCTCGAACGAGAGCGACGAACTGCCGGATGAAGCCGGCAGATTCAACGAGCTAAACCGCGAAAGTTATCGTCGGCATTACCGACGCAAAAGAAATGGCGATATGCGTTATCGTCGAAGCGCGAAATAGCGAACGCGATTCCCATTTTTAGCCGTTTCTCCGATTTCTTATTCACGACTCCGCTCGGTGAGAATCGATTATCGATACTGCGGGTAATTAATAGCTGCCTGAAGGCAATGAAAACGAAAGCTATTGACGTTTCTGTGCATATAACTGATGGAGAAAGAGAGAGAAAGAGAGAGAGAAAGAGAGGTGTTTCCCCAATAATACTTGTAATTCATTGTTTAAAAAAATCATTGTTCACAAAAAGTCTGGTGGTTACGGTGTATTTCTTCTTTCTTTTAATAGAACAATAAACAATTTTCACTTTATTTATTAAATATAAATGCAAAGGATAAAATTGTATGAAGGTAATTTCTAAAATCAAAGACAGTTTTCTCCCGCAAATTTGTTTAATGGCGCAATAAAGAGAACAACTTCGAATTCTCGATTTTTTTCGCGCGAGAAATCACCGACAAATTAATTCGTACTTTACCACGCTGGCTACGTAAAGACAATTATTGTCGCATGATAGTAATAATGGGCGACCGCCTTTTAGCGCTACTCCTCCAGAATTTAACGAAAAAGCGAATTCAACGTACTTTTATAACCGTGCTAAAAGTTTTTACCGCAAGAATAAACGTATTAATTAAGCGCGTTTAAAAATGAAACGACACATAAGGCAGTTATGTAGATACGGAAAATGCAACGTTTCAACTTATTCTCGTGTACTTTTCTTGGAATGAAATTTTTTTCATTAGCACGAGAGACCAACATGTCTTTAAAAATATCATATTTTCCTTGTATTTGAAAATATTTAAAGATTTTATTTTATTTTTCGAAGATATAGTGTAAAATATTATTATTTAATATAATTAATACCGTGTAAATGTTCTTTATTGATGAGGAAGACAAATTAAATATATGTTACATGTCTTTAATTTTCGTCCTGCAGAGAATATATGAGAAATAACAAGAAGATTATATATAAGAGGACTTTATTATAAGAATAATTTACATATATTACGCATAGAAGGTATTAATTTTTTTGTCAAAGTGTAATGACATTTTACCGGTCTTCTGCGGGAACGCCGCCGCCCAGCGGGAGACCCATCATGCCACGCGCCGCGCTTATATAAATTGAGGGCGTCGAGGAAATCGCATCGCGCGTCGCGTTGGTGGTCGGCGGAATGGCACACTACCCCGCTTAGAAAGTTAGGCGTGTAAGTAGAGACATAGTTAAAACGTAGGTAGAAAATAATTTTTTCCCGGGGCCCCTCTAGCATAGTACAGTTAGGGTCGCTCGTGGTGGTTTTAGTCGGTAGGCTATGGGCGCGCGATGCCACGCTGAGGGAGGCTCAGGGGATTTCGGTTTTCTGAAGCGCCCCTCGTAACGGTGGTACGCGTGCGCGTAGAATCCGACACTCCCCCTCCCTACCCCAGGGCGGAGGGTATTTCGAAGATTTCCACCACGTAAAAAAACAAAAAAAAAATGTAGAGAATAATTTTTAATTCTTTTCAGCAATTACATTTCTATTAAGCGAGAAAGGTCAAGCGAGAAGGTATTAATTTCTATGTCAAAGGGTAATGACATTTTGGTATTTTTTGAACTTTGATATTTTGCTAGTATTTTTTTTAATATTGATATACGAGAAACTCGACAAAATAATAAAAGGGACTTAACATAAAAAATTTGGAAATTTCCATATTTGAAAAATAATAATTGTTTTTTTTATTTGCAATTGTAAAATGTGATGTCACATATACCCACTTGATATACCATATCCTATACTGACTATACATCCGTGCCGTTTCTGTATAGCTCGTATAGTACTCTGAAACTATAATAGAAGTCCTTCCGTATCTGACGTGTTCTTACGCGATTAAGTCCGGGCCCGACTTCTCGAGGAGACGTGAAGTGTGAGATTCGTAGTTGGCTCTTTGGGTACACGCCGGGAAACCCGGAAGCGAACGCCATCGTTGATTCCTTCTTGTGTGTGTCTGGTTAATGGAACTAAGAAGCTCGTAAACGTATTAACTGCTGGAAAGGACATCGGCTTTGATCCTGTGACGAGTACCTGCCTTCGTCTCGTCTTCGCTCTTTGAGAAGCACGGTCGAAGCATAATGCTTATATGTTTTAAGCAAAAATAAAACTTTCTTTCTTATATAAAATTGTTAGAAAATTAAATAATAAATTCCGATTATTTTTTGTAAGTCGAAATGTAAAGTGATACTAATGATGGTATATATCAATTCAAATTGTGATATGCATTTCTGAAACATATTGGCTATGCCTGCGCATATCAGTATCTGAGTTTCTTTTATCATCTGTTTCTGTTTTCGAATGGGAAAAGGAAATATTTGGAACGTATCTGGTGATGATAGCTTCTGGTTTGCAGTTTTTCTTTTCATTTATATAAGCTCATCATAACATGAAGAAAGATCCTGCAGAGATGACTGATCCGCGCAGTCATTTGGGTTTAGCGAACCCACGGTCCCGAGCTCATCACATTGCAGATACTCACATACATTTACACATATTTCACACACGCACTTACACAAGTGAATTTGTAAATGGTAATGCAGTGAATAGTTGAAAATGGAATAGAGGTAAAAGGTAATCTAATCTACGGAATATATAAGAATAGATTAAAATCTTTTTTTAGATGTATGTTAAATAACTTATAATTAAATTTAATATCATATAAAAATATCATATAATATCATATAAAAGAAAATAGAGAACAAAAGTCACGAGAGAATGCATCGTGATAGATATGTCCAAAATTTCCCTCGTCCCTGTCCTCCCTTTGAAACAAATATGGGAAAGAAAATTTGCGAGATATGCATCAAAAACTTGTCAGACAAGAGCCTTAAAGTCTTCTCTAAGAGAT